TTCTTTTTCTGTTAATGTGAGAGGGTGTGTAGAAATGAGTATTAGCTTTAATTACTCCCTATATATCAAAGTTGATGAATTCGACATGCATAATTGAAAAACTTAATTAAGTCATATATAATGGAAAAATAACCCCCCCCCCACCCCACCCCACCCCAAGTGAATAAACTAAACAATACGTGCAAGACATGTTTTTTAAAAATAAAGTTTCTCAGATAATTGTCATATTTTGCTTTCTAAGTGCTCGTTTTCTTTCCATGTTTGTCCATTGATTTACATGTGTCTTCATGCTTCTGAGTTCTGATAAATTCTATTACGTACGTACCATTGATGAGGAAGAAAATTGTACAGCTAATATTCAGGGCCAATTTACTATCAAAATCAAGAATACCTACGCAAACTTTAGGTCAAACTTAAACCACCAAATCTTTAGAACAAGATAAGTCTACTACTCATTTTTAAAAATTAAAATGAATATACACATGCATACACAAACAATACGTAGTTGTTTGAACTTTCCTACATATGGATTAATTTGGCTTTGCCTATTAACGAAAGGAGCAGTTAATTTAGAAGCGATCTCCTTTTTTCGCCAGTCATGCATTAGAAAAGTTCTAATGAACTCGAACAGATAATGTGTGTTACTTTTGCATAGGTGATAATTTTCACTTATACAAAACGTTTTCTTAACTGCAAAAAGGCTATCAAGTATTATTGAACAATTATATTTAAAGTTATCACCTATGTATTTGCAATTTGTAGTTCACTAACCTTTTGAGAATAAGTTCGTGATACTAGGAGAATATCTGTATTTACAATTCACATTTATGTTTGAAAATTATTTCTGTTTAAAATAAGAGAACATACGCATCAATCAGAGAGAGAGAGTCGAAATTAAGGAGAAATATATGTATATGTTTTTTTTTTTTTTAAAACGGAGTGTAATTGACATATATGTATTAAACTCTTAGTTTTCTATTAATATATATTAAACTCATTCTTTTACCAAAACAAAAAAGGAAAAAAAAAAATACTATGTCAAAGAATTTAAGCATTCAACTTAAATCTTAATGAAAAAAGTTCCGAAGTCCAAGACTTCTACAAATGATCTCTTTAATGGTCTTAATTTACATATTCCATAATTTAACAACTTATTCTGAAATGACACATACCATGGCTATATATATAAAAAATGAGGATGACCTTCTTTTTCCTTATACCGGCAACAAATGCAAAGGGAGATGACGTTGCGGTGGAATTTAATGTAGTATTATAGCTGTATATATGGACTGTCTCTGTTTACCTTAATTATTAAAGCAAAGAAAATGTCCGCTCACGATTGGCGTTAGAGTCCCACACCATTCATGGTACTTATAAGTACCCACATTGCAACTAGTGACGGAGGCATGATTTACATATAGGGTACGCAAGATTTTTTATAAGCGATCGATATTTATGTAAGATTATAAAATAAATAACATTAATTAGGACATGTCTAAACGAGTAATAGTCTTACTGACAAAGATTTGTCGCGTGACGCCGCTTCATCCAACATATGTCCGCCCCTAATAAAGTGGATTCAAAAAGTAAAAAAAACTAAATATATGAAGAATTATTAAAGCAAAGTATATATATAATTATTAATCCTATATACACAGTTTAAATTTCCAGCAAATGGAATTCAAATAATCCCCTTCCGTCATCCTAGTTCCGCCTTACCTGCAATGTTAAGATCAGCATGATCTATTGCAATGCTCTTACTGAACAGTTACCCCCTCAGATTTTCTGAATCAATATTTCTTCATGTTCAGAGAATATTATATACTGTAAAGTTTCAGCAAAAAAGGAAGTGGTTTTCCATTTGCCACTTGGTTATATAAATGGTGGTGGAGTACTTTACTAAAATGTAAATTAACATACAAAAACAATCATTTCATCCTTTCCTTGAACAATTTTTTCTATATCTTCCTCATGAAACAAAATCATGTACTATCATTCAAAGTCATCACAGCAATTTTTTGTAACTAAAGAATGACTTATTTTGCCTAAGTATCACAGAAAGACATTTAACAATTTTCTTGTATAACTTTGGCTAAATATCACAGAAAATGCTACCTCTGTTACTTATAATGACTTTTTGTAATACGTAGACAAAGTTGAATAATTTTTTTATTATAAAAAATAGTTTAATGGCTTTTGTAATATTTAGGTAAAGTTGAGTGATGTTGCAGCACAAAAAATTTATTTAGTGACATTGGTTACAACAATCATATCATCCTTTCCGTGAACAATTTTTCTGCCTCGTGGAACAAAATCATGTTAGTGGGTTGGGTTAAAGTTAATTAGATAATGTTCCTTCTTATTCTTCAATGAATATAGGGGTGTGAGAATTTGTTATAGGAATTTTTACCTCATGTAGCAAAGGTTAACACCTTATTTATTTTAAATAAATATCATTTAAAAAAATTATATTCTATAGATACCTTTTAATGTTTATAGCAAAATATTTAATTTTGATTACCTCCTACCCCAAAGCCACTAAATACGCTATTCAGTTACACTAATTTCTTTCTCTCTCTAGTTTGATACATGTCATTCTCTTCTCCCATCCCCTGAAAACACGATGCTCATCAATCTCAAAATTCCTCTCACCCACATCACCTACATTCTCTCCGATCCCAATTTCTCCAATCCCATCGGACGTTGCTTTTTATTAGGAGAAAAGGTAGAAGAGGAGAAGGGGAATTTGTAGAGAGGTTTCAAGAATGGAAGTCCATAACGTGGCACTGCCACTCTCATGATTCGCCGGCTGTGTTGGTAAAGTTACTGATTTATGTTTTTCTGTTTGTTATAAACCGAAGAGATGAATTGTAATGCTCTCTCTTTATTTCTCTTTAAGGAATTTTTTACATCTCTTTAACAGAGTCTTTATTCTCCCACCATTGCTCGACGACGGATTCGCCGAAAATTAGGATTTGTTCTTGAACAAAAACGACGGAGTTTAGGGCTGAGCAACTTGAATTTTTTGTTAATATATTTTAATGTATCTCGCTGTATTTCCATGTATTTCATTGTATTCATTATCTTTTTTTTCATTGTATATCAATGTATCTCGTTGTATTTCATTGTATTCACTGTCTCGTTGTATTGCATGAATGTATTCATATATTTTTTAATTAGTATAATTTATGTATTCAGATGTATTATATAATTTCTCTGAAGATTGCTATGTTTTTGGGGTGTTTTTCGGTTGAGAAATTTTTTTATAACTGGAAATACAAAATTTGTGCATTAAAATTGAGTTTGTTGAGTTATATTAGGAGTCTATTATGTTAATTGATTCACTTTCCATTTAAAAACAGTGTAATCCCCTGTTTCACGCCGTGAATACAGTCGACTACACTAATCTGTCCAGCTGTAATCCCATGTTTCACGCCATGAATTACAGTCGAATACAACAACTGATTAGCTGGACTTCCCTGATTCACGCCTATTTTTGCTATTGTATTCATGAATACAGTAGCTTAAATATATCTAATACATCTTATAACAATAGAAAATGTATCTACAATCCGTAATATAGCAAATGATATCTATAGATAGCTAATTACCACTAAAAAATAGTGCCTTATGAAAATTTCTCTTTGTTATACTATACATCTCTCGCTTTGTTTTCTTTTTTTGCATTGACATATAATAAAATGTATGGAGGTCTCGCAAAAGTGTTAGAACGCTAAAATTTGGAAAGTAACTAAGTGGATAATTTAATTATATATATAAACTGAAAGTATAAAAGTCTTTACATTACTAGTGTATTCTAATTTGTTACAGTAGATTATGTACAAATTTTTTCAATAGTTTAATACTTTAACATTTATATGTGTAGTGACAATATGAAAGAACCTAATTCCATTATCAGGTGATAACTACATGCAACTATCTATATAATCATAAAAGGAGTTAGTACTTGAATACGTACACCAGGTAATGTATTATAATAGATTAAATTACACTGATAAATGCAAATAATCTTTAAGTTGTTAGAATATAGAAGTATAAGTTAAATCCATATTCCAAGTTATCATATTAGACGTATTATGAATAATTACCTATTGTTTAGGTAACTTAACTTGACGGGGGAAACTGAGGTTAAACACAGAATATGGGATGGTTACGTGCAACCTTCTCCTAATTAAACTAATTAAGTTATTAATGCAGTAATCTTTTACTTATAATATTTATTTACCAAAATAAATAAATTAAAAACTTTCCAAATCAATTACTTATGGGAAGGTACTTTTGTCGTCCTTAACAGAAATTTACTATTGAAAAAAATGTTCACACTCAAATCGTACATTCAATTGCTGAAGAAAAAATTAGTTAAAATCTTCTTACATTGAAAAGCAGAAAAGAGAGTCTCTTACATATGCATCTTATGTTTTAAGGAGAAGAAAAACAACATTAGAAAGAGAGGAAAATCCTACATAATCGAGACAACTTTTGTTTATGTTTTAAGTGACACATCCTTCGGCAGTGGTTGTCTCTTCTTCTTTTATGTTATTTTGTTTTATTTTCTTTGGGTTAACCCAACCCTATTTCTTTCATGCATCCTATAAATTTCGCACTACTGTACTGGTAAGTAGTAATACTGAATAGTTATCTTATTTAATTATACGCCAGTCTGGATAGACAAGTTGAAATCTCTTTTCTTCTTTTCTTTTTTAATTACATAATAATAAGTCTCATCTAATATAAAGGGAATAAAGATACTAAGTTAGGGAGTTGGGGTTGAACCTAATGCAGTTATTCCATTAGCTAGGAACTTAATATTTTATCATAAATCTATTTCATACTGTCTGCTAGCATTTACTTCCTGGTTGTGTATTTATAATCGCACTTGGCTTTTCTACTTTCAAAACTACACGTGAAAATTCAAATACAAAAATAATCATATAACAATTGTTCTCTCTGTTCTTTCTTTCTTTCTTTCTTTAAGGCAAATGGGAAGGTCACCTTGTTGTGATAAAGTTGGATTGAAGAAAGGGCCATGGACTCCTGAAGAAGACCAAAAACTCATGGCTTTCATTGAAAAATATGGCTGTGGCAGCTGGCGTGCTTTGCCTGCTAAAGCTGGTAACTTGTCTTATTTGATTAAGTGTAGTTATTTTGATAATGCAAAACGTTAAACTCGTAGAACTTTGTTATCGTTAAGCATGCATTGATGAATTGTTTTCATGGGAATGATTTTTTTTTATAGGACTAAAGAGGTGTGGAAAGAGCTGCAGATTAAGATGGATAAATTATCTAAGACCAGATATCAAGAGAGGAAAGTTCAGTTTGGAAGAAGAACAGACCATCATTCAACTCCATGCCCTTCTTGGAAACAGGTAATAATATATATATAATAACTAGTCACTGAATATGACATGCAGAACCACTGAATGCTGAATAGGAAAGGAAAGATAATTCTTCTTCTTTCCAAGATAGAAAAAAAAACAGTGTTACACGTACGGCATGTACTGCTGCAATTCAACATTACGTAAATGGTCTAACATTGTTACAATATTGACAAGTTTTCTTTCAGAGTTTTTATGTATTCCTTCCTACCTTGACCCTCAATCTACACTATTCATAGAATAAAGTGTGGAGTTAAATGCCACCCCTCAGTCTCAATTTATGTATAGTAACGTTTAGATTTCCTTAATCACAATTGCCTTTTTAATATATTGGATTGTTAATTATTTTGACATATAGTACTTTTTATGTAACTTTTAAATATGCAAATTTTATCTCAAAATACTCTACAATTCTATCTATGAATTCACGGTCAGAATTAATATGTTTGACTTTCGAAATATCAAATGGCGACACATAAGATTATTTAAAGGGGTGCACAGTTACCTGAAATTATCTTTTATGTGATAGTGTATAAATATTAAATCTTTGCCAAAATTAAGCTGATAATACTATATATTATCATATAGGTGGTCAGCTATAGCAGCTCACTTGCCGAATAGGACAGACAATGAGATAAAGAACTACTGGAATACACACTTGAAGAAGAGATTAACCAAGATGGGCATCGATCCAACTACTCATAAACCAAAAACCAACATTTTTGGAAAGGATGCTGCTAACCTAAGTCACATGGCTCAATGGGAAAATGCTCGTCTTGAAGCTGAAGCTAGACTTGTTCGTGAATCCAAGAAACAAATAATTTCCAACCAATTTGGTCCTAATTTGGCTACTAAACCAATATCTCATGGCAACCTACAAAGAAACATTTTGCCCCTTCAAACAAAAATACCACCTTGTCTTGACGTACTAAAAGCATGGCAAGGGACTAATTGGATAACAAAGCCAAAAACCAAAGACATGACTTCATCAGTTTTTGATCCTTTCTTCGATTCTCCAACATCCACGTCAAACTTATCGAACAACAACTTATTCATGGTACCAAATAATAATATTCCTGGATTAGTGGACGTGAATTCGTGTTTGGTTGGAGAAAGCATATTCATGGAAAACACAAAGGAAGAAGTTCAAACAGAGTGGAAATGCTTCGACAAACCAAACAACGAATTACTCAGCCAGATTAACGATATTTCATATTCTAATGATTCATCAACTTATAATATGAGCATACTACACCAATCTTCATCAGGTTTGATTCAAGGGTTTACGCACTTGGAAAATATTGTTGGAAGCTGCCAAGACAATCTTGAGGACGACAACAATAACAACAATTATTGGAATACTATACTAAATTCTTGTACTTTACCTGCTGATTCACCAGTATTTTAATTAATTTAATAGGTTTAATATTAGGATTTGATTAGGAAATTCTACCTTAGACTAGATTTTTAAACCTTGGTGTTGTTGCGAGCATCTAGTTGACGGACCTAGTCTAGAGAAGAATTTGCCTGAGAAATTTTAAACCAAGAGAAAAAGATTAGAGCTTTAGGGGAATAACTATATTGTACTAGTGGTCAGTAGCCCTATCATAGTTTTATTAAACTCATTGTCAGTGATATTAAATTGAAGTGCTTCGTGTTTATTGTTGGTGGCCATTTTCAAAGATTTGGCTGGTATATGTATGATGGATCCATATTGAGAGAGACGTGTGTATGTGTCATGGGTCCATTAATATAAAATGGCGCTAGCTGACAAGAACGACGTAAATATTTCTATATAATTTAAACTCTATAAACATTATGTTTAACGTCCAGTAGACTATGTTTTAAAAAAAATATTACAAGACTTGAAGGGGACTCGTCTCATGGTAAGAAGCCAGTCTCCAAACTGTTGGATAATTTTATTTTCATTTTTTAGTAACTAAAACTGTTGGATATGATTATTTATCCAAGATCCGATATGTCATGTAAAAGTTTAAGAGTTTAAACACATTATTATGAAATTATATTTGTTTTAATTAGGAGTGATTTATCTGGTATTCATAATTTGCTAGTATCATATATTATTTTTTTTGATAAGTTGATTATCCAGACATAATTTATATCTAATGGTCTCGATTGGATGGGACATTAGTATATCTCATTTACTAAATTTCATATAGTAGATGAGTGGTTTGCAGATATAATCACTGGACTAACCGATTTGAGAAATCCTAGTGGTTAAGATTATCATAATTAACATGTCATTAGAATATTCTCAGGAAGAACATAGTATAGAGGTTCCCTAAATTTGAACTTATTCATCATACAAGTATTTCCTTTAATACTTTGATTCCGGACACCTAACAACATAGGGAGCTAGCTAGATGAATGGATATTGATATGATTAAATACGTGTAAAATTAATGAATAGTGCTCCCAAATTAAACTTTTGGTAAATAAGTTTGAGCTTTATGATGTCAGAGTCATAACGATCATTTTCAGATCTTGGTCAGTATAATAAAATTAATTAAAAATCAGTTGTGTTTAGTCATCTATTTATTGGTTTTTTTTGGGTCAAAAGTGCTTTTTTTCTCAAAATTAAGGTGTTTGACCAAGTTTTTTGAAAGAAAAAAGTGATTTTGAGTAGAAACAGAAGTAATTTTTGAGAAGTAAAAAAGGTAGCTTTCCCCCCGAACCACTTTTTTGAAAAGGACTTTTGAAAAAAAATACACTTAGAAGCACTTCATAAAAGTTTGGCTAAACACTAATTATTGCTCAAAAATGCTTTCCAAATTAATTAGCCAAACATAAATTGTTTCTCACCAAAAGTACTTTTTTGAAAAGCACATCTCAAAATAAGCAAACTTTTGAAGCTTGGCCAAACAAGCTATAATAGTTGGTTATTGATTGGGGTTTGACAACTCAACTATATATAACCTAAGGTTAACCCAAAAAACTATAACCATGAAAAAACATACTCCCTCCGTTTCAAAATTAGAGGATGTACTTTCCTTTTTAGTTTGTTCCAAATAAATGACACATTTCTAAAATTATTTTTTAGAAATAATTCAACTTTAAACTCTTCATTTAACCTATTTTACCCTTTATGAAAAGTTTTTATAACCACGCAAATGTCATGCCCCCCTCCCCACAGAACCTTTACCCCTTAAGCTTTTAATACCACAAGTTTCAAAACTTTTTTTCCTTAAACTTCGTGCCGAGTCAAACTACTTCATCTAATTTGAAACGGAGAGACTATTAAATTAGTTCTTCTAAAGGAATTATGAGAGTTAAATATGTCACATCATGCTATCCCTGTGACGACCCAAAGGGTCATCACCTTTTTTCTCATTCATTCCGTGCTTCCGAGGCCTTGAAAACCTCATTTTTAGTCGCCTTGATTTGCGTGCGCAGTCCGGGCGCGTAGCCGGAAAGCTTAAATATGAATTCTGTGTGAAAAATGATGAATTTTGGTATTAATATGATTAAAGTTGACTTTGGTCAACATTTTGGGTAAACGGACCCGGACCCATGATTGGACGGTCCCGGAGGGTCCGTAGAAAAATATGAGACTCGGGCATATGCCCGGAGTCGAATTCCGAGGTCTAGAGAACGAGAAAAGAATTTTTCTGTGAAATTATTTTTCTGAAATTAATATGGAAATTTGAAACGAAAATTGATTAGAACGTGTTGGTATCGGGCCCGTATTTTGGTTCCGGTGCCCGGTACAGGTCTTATATGTGGTTTAAGCGCTTTCTGTGAAATTTGGTTGAAATCGGACGTCATTTGACGTGTTTCAGACCTAAATCTTTAAAAACGAAAGTTTATGAAGTTTGATGAAAAAGTGATGATTTTGAGGTTTAATTCATTGAGTTTGATGTTATTTTGGCGATATGATCGCACGGTTAAGTTCATAGGATGTCGTTGAGTTAGTGCGTGTGTTGGTTAGGAGCCCCGGGGGCTCGGCAGTGTTTTCGGAGGTGTTCGGGGTGGTTTTGAACTTAGAAATATTGCAGAAAATCTGCAACAGGTGCCCAGGTGAATCCTTCTTCGCGTTCGCACTCTCCCTCACGCGTTCGCGAAGGTCCTCAATTTTCCTTCACCGCGTTCGCAGCCCTTGCCTCGCGTTCGCGTAGGGTCAAGTGACCCTGAGGGGCTAGTCTTCTATCCTCTTCGCGTTCGCAATTGAATCCTCGCGTTCGCATATTTCCCAACATCTCTTCATCGCGTTCGCGTGTAGTACAACGCGTTCGCGTAGGCCAATTCCTGGACCCCCCCCCCCCCCAGTCCTTCTCTTCGCGTTCGCATCCTGCTCATCGCGAACGCGATGGTCTGTTGAGTCAACCCTTCGCGAACGCAACCTTGCTCCCGCGAACGCGAAGGGCAATTTTGGCCAGTGATTTTTTTTAAAATGTTCAAAACAGTAGCTGCGGGTTTAACTCTAATTCTCACGAGCTCTCTTCTTCCCCAAGCTTCTAGGAGTCCATTGAAGCCCTCATTCTTCAAGACCACTTGGGTTAGTAAATCCCCACTTAGTTCCTTCATTTTTCTTCATTAATTACTGAAATTCTAAGCTTAAATCACATAGATTAGGGTGGAAATTGGAGGAAATGGGTAGAATTAGGGCTTTTCAATTTCCTTTGATTTAAACCTTGTTTTGGGGTCGGATTTGAAAACAAATTGTATATTCGGGCTCGTGTGGGAATAGGTGATATGAAATTGGTTCGAACCTCGGGTTTTGACCAAGTGGACCCAGGGTCGATTTTTGGAATTTTTGGAAGAAAGCTTAGAAAACTATATTTAGGCATTGGGTTTGATTTGTTTAGCTTATATTAATGCTGTAAAGTCGTTATTTCATAGATTTGATTGAGTTGGAGCCAAATTCGAGAGGGAAGGCGGTCGTTGTGGATTGATTTAGCTGTGGAAGTTGAGGTAAGTGTTTGGTTTAACCCTAACTTGAGGGAATAGGAGTTGAGTCTTGTTTGCTATTTGCTAATTGATCGAGTACGATGTATAGGCATGGTGACGAGTATCTATACATTGGTGTCTAGCATGACCGTGAGTCCTTGAAGGGTGATTATCATGATTTTGTTGTGAATTCCATGTTAATTGAGGACTTCTATATATTGTAAAGAATTGAAAAGGTATATGAGATTATAAGATTCTTGGGAGCATTGGCTCAAGTGAGATAGTGAGATGTGAAGTAAGAAATGAAAGAAAGCTAATGAGTTATTGGTTATTCCCTTGCCGGGATGTTCTGCTGTTTGGTAGTCTTTTCTCCCATGCCGGGATATTGAAATTGTTGTTATTGTTCCTTTGTCGGGATTCCTATTTTGTTGTCTATTCCCTCGCCCCATTGTTTGTGATTGTTGTTTGGGTGAGGACGAGTGATAAAGCACGAAGGGTGATGCCGTGCACGATTGTGATATGAATACTAATGCACGAAGGAACATTCCGTGCCATGATATGATTACTAATGCACGAAGGAACATTCCGTGCCATGATATGAGTGTTTATGCACGAAGGATCATTTCGTGCCATCATTTTGTGAGGTAAAGCACGAAGGGTGATGTCATGCACTCTATATGATTATTTTGGTGAGAACGAGAGTAAAAGCACGAAGGGTGGTGCCGTGCAACTGTTGATTTCCTACTCTCGTTGCTATTGTAGTTGTACTGGTTCATTCCTTAATTATTGATTTTATACCTGAACTTTTACAGCCCCTACAACATGCTCCCCCTCCCCCCTTGACTGGTTAATTTCTGTATACCTTTATATTTCATACATATATATTGAACTGCACAGGTCTATTTGGTAGTCCGATCTAGCCTCGTCACTACTTCGCCGGGGTTAGGCCAGGCACTTACCAGCACATGCGGTCGGTTGTGCTGATGCTACACTCTGTGCATCTTTTTGCACAGATCATGGTGCCGGAGCAGCTTTTGGACAGCAATAGTAGATTTGGGAACTGACTTCAGTCTAGAGACACCGAGGTAGCCTTGCTGACGTCCGCATGCCCGGAGTTTATTCTATCTTTACTTTAGTTTGTTATTCTTTGTACCGGAACAAACAAAACTATGTTTTTATTCAGACATTGTATTTAGCATTCTCTAGACGTTCGTGAGTTTGTGACTCCATTTCTTGGGTAGAGTTGTATTGAACTTCCGCATTGCTTTCAGTTTATTTATATTTAAGACTTCCGCTTTTCTATTAAATGTTTCATTGTTTTTAATAATGTCGAGGTTTGCTAAAAGAGATAATAAATAATTGGCTTGCCTAGCTCCTAATAGTAGGCGCCATCACGACTCCCGAGGGTGGGAAATCCAGGTCGTGACAAGTTGGTATCAGAGCACTAGGTTACATAGGTCTCACAACTCACGAACAAACTCGGTAGAGTCTGAGGGATCG